CAGTTGGTCAGGTAGTTGTCTTCCAAATCTCTTGGCATAGATAAGTTAGTGCCTCAAGCATACCATCTGTTTGTTGAAACATCTCAATGGGTATTCCATAAATTCCCAGAGCCTTGTTTTTCACCAATTCCTTCAGTGCAGCTTTGACTTCTTCTTTCAATACCCAATGGTATTGAAGAAATGGTTCTTGAACATATGCCACCTCCTGAAATGGATGATCATCTATCAATTCTTTTTGGTATAGCAACTCTGTATATTCCATCCATCTTCTTTTGATGTTTTCTGCATCACTGAACATATAACCTATGGAATCTTTCAATATTACAGTTTGAGGCTTTATGATGTTCTTGATGTCATCCATCAATTCCTCTGGTTTTCAGTCATTGGTGTTCAATACTTCAAATCTATTCTTTAGATGATCTCTAAATTCAGGAGGGATATAATCAAGGTCATATTTTGGCTCTCATGGACTTGTTTAATTGTCTTCAGCTTCAAATTGAACTTGCATATGAGCAGTTGATTGCTTCTTGCCACAGATGTAATTAGTCTAATTCCTGTGTACTACATCTGGTGAAGTCCACATGTATAGCCACCATTTGTGTTGTTGAAAAAAGGTATTTGCAATGAATAAGTTGTTGGTCTTGCAAAATTCCATCATGAGATCTCCAGCAACATTTCTATAACAAAGGCCATATTTTCCAATGACCAGTGATTCTTCTCTGTTTTCAAGTTTTGTGTTCTAATCACCAGTGATAATTAACACAGCTTGATTACTTGTTCAGTCAATTTCAGGCTGCAGAGGTTGGTAAAAATCTTCAATTAGTTCATCATTGGCTTTAGTAGTTGGTGTGTAAATTTGAATAATAGCAGTATTTACTGGTCTTCCTCATAGACATATGGATACTACCCTATCACTGGCAGCATTGTACTTCAGGATAGATCTTGCTACATTCTCTGTGATGATGAATGCCATGCCATTCTTCTTCAATTTGTCATTCCCAACATAGTAGATCATATAACTATCTGATTCAAAATGGCCAAACCCAGTCCATTTTAGCTCACTAATGCCTAGGATATTGATCTTTATCTGTTCTATTTCATTTTTGACAACTTCCAATTTTCTTAGATTTATACTTCATACATTCCATGTTCAAGATCTGTCCTGAAGTAAAATGCTGTCAGTGATAGGATAACATCCATATGCTAGAAGGAAGACCAGTTAATACAACTACTATTCAAATTTACACACTAACCACCAAAACCAAAGATGAGGAAATTGAAGACTTTTTATCAACTTCTGCAGTCTGAAATTAACTGAACATGCAATCAAGATGTGTTAATAATCACTGGTGACTGGAATGCAAAAGTTGGAAACAAAGAAGAATCATGGGTAGTTGAAAATTTGGCTTTGGTGACAGAAATAATGCTGGAGATCGCATGATAGAATTTTGTGAGACCAATGACTTATTCATTGCGAATATCTTTTTTCAACAACACAAACAGTAGCTATACATGTGGATTTTGCCAGATGGAGTACAAGAACTGATGGAAAAGCTCAACATCTTCCGCCAAAACTAGGCCAGGAGCTGATTGTGGAACAGACCATTAACTGCTCATATGCAAGTTCAACTTGAAGTTGAAGACAAAACAAGTCCATGAGAGCCAAAATATGACCTTGAATATATCCCTCCTGAATTTAGAGACCATCTAAAGAGTAGATTTGATGCACCAATAACCAAAAACCAGAAGAATTGTGGGATGACATCAAGAACATCATCCATGAAGAAAGCAAGAGGTCTTTAAAAAGACAAGAAAGGAAGAAAAGACCAAAATGGAAGTCAGAAGAGACTCTGAAACTTGCATTTGATTGGAGAGTAGCTAAAGCAAATGGAAGAAATGACAAGATAAAAGAGCTGAACAGAAGATTTCAAAGAGCAGCTTGAGCAGACAAAGCCAATTACTATAATGAAGTGTGCAAAGACCTGGAGTTAGAAAACCAAAAGGGAAGAACTTGCTCAGCATTTCTCAAGCTGAAAGAACCAAGTAAAAAATTTAAGCCTTGAGTTGCAATATTGAAAGATTCTATGGGCAAAATATTGAATGATGTAGGAAGCATCAAAAGAAGATGGCAGGAATACACAGATTACTGTACCAAAAAGAACTGATTAATGTTCATCCATTTCAGGAGGTGGCATATGTTCAAGAACCAATGGTATTGAAGGAAGAAGTCAAAGCTGCACTGAAGGAATTGACAAAGAACAAGGCTCCAGGAATTGATGAAACACCCATTGAGATGTTTCAACCAATGGGTGCCCTTCTGGAGGTACTCACTTGGCTATGTCAAGAGATTTGGAAGAAAGCTACCTGAGCAACTGACTGGAAGAGATCCATATTTGTACCCATTCCAAAGAAAGGTGATCCCACACAATGTGGAAACTATCGAACAATATCATTACTATTGCTTGCAAGTAAATCTTACTGAAGATAATTCAAAAATAATTACAGAGACCTTCCAGAAATGCAAGTTTCCTCTCAGAAGAGGATGTAGAGGGAGGAATATCATTGCTGATGTCAGATGAATCTTGGCTCAAAGCAAAGAATACCAGAAAGATGTTTACTTGTGTTTTATTGACTATGCAAAAGCATTTGATTGTGTGGATCATAACAAATTGTGGATAACATTGAGAAGAATGTGAATTCTGGAACACTTAATTGTGCTCATGAGGAACTTGTACATACACCAGGAGGCTGTTGTTTGAACAGAACCAGGGGACACTGCATGGTTTAAAATCAAGAAGGGAGTGTGTCAGGGTTGTATCTTTTCATCATACTTATTCAATCTATATGTTGAGCAAATAATCCAAGAAGCTGGACTATATGAAGAGGAACATGGTATCAGGATTGGAGGAAGAATCACTAACAACCCAAGTGAGATAGACTGACAACACAACTTCGCTTGCTGAAAGTGAGGATGTCTTGAAGCACTTGCTAATGAAGATTGAAGAATACAGACTGCAGTATGGATTACATCTCAATATAAAGAAAACAAAAATCCTCACAACTGGGATTTGTAAGTAGCATCACAATAAATGGAGAAAAGATTGAAGTTGTCAAAGACTTCACATTACTTGGTTCTACAATAGACGCCAATGGAAGCAGCAATCAGGGCATCAGATGACATATAGCACTGGGCTAATTAGCTGCAAAACACGTCTTTCAAGTGCTGAAGAGCAAAGATGTCTCCTTGAGGACTAAGGTGCGCCTGACACAAGTCATGGTATTTTCCATCACCTCATATACATGTGAGAGCTGAACAATGAATAAGGAAGACCAAAGAACAGTTAATGCTTTTGAGTTGTGATGGCAAAGAATGCTGAAAGTACCATGGACTGCTAAAAGAATTACCAAATCTGTCCTGAGGAAGTGCAACCAGAATGCTCCTTGGAAGCAAGAATGGCCAGACTTTGTCTCACCTAGTTTGGTCATGTTGTAAGAAGGGACCATTCCCTGGAGAAGGATGTCATGCTTGGTAAGGTGGGGGGCTGACAAAGGAGGAGAAGGCCCTCAATGAGATGGAATGAAACAGTGACTGCAGCTATGGCTTCAAGTATAGCAAGGATCGTGGAGCTGCCGCAGGACTGGGTGTTGTTTTGTTCAGCTGTGCATAGGGTCGCTATGGGTCAGAGATGACTCAACAGCACCTAACAACAACAAACATTATTAATGGGTGTTTGCAGCTGTTTCTTCTCATCTCGAGACGTACTATATCAGCAAATGGGGGTCCTGAAAGCTTTACTCTATGCACATCATTAAGGTCGGCTTTACTCTGAGGAGGCAGCTCTTCTTCTCCAGTCATATTTTGAGTACCTTCAGACCTGAAGGGTTCACCTTCCAGCAATTTTTCACACAATGTTTCACTGCTATTCATCAGGTTTTCACTAGCCAATTCTTTGAGAAGTGGATGGCCTCCTCCTTCTTCCAAGTTTGTTTTAGTCTAGATGCTTCCTTGAAACCTGTCCACCACAGGTAACCCTGCTGGCATTTGAGCCTCCAGCCTCACACCAACACTCAAGCCATCATAGTAAGACAAACTGATGGACAATTTTGTCTCCCCTAGATGTTCTACACTGCTCTGCTCATTCCTTGATCTCCCCCGCCCTGCTCACTTACCCAGTCTGCCCCAGGGTCAAACACCCATCTTCCACTGGTCCCAGTGCTGGCTTACTGCAGTCTGCACCCAGGGACGGCTCCACACATGCTGAAAACCATAACCATGGTCAATTTTAGAATAGTCTCATCATCTCAAAAAGAAACCTCATTCATAGCCATTTGCTATCTTCCTTCAATCCACTCACCTATACCTTGGCCTTAAGCAACCACTAAACTACTTATCTCTGTACATTTCTTTGTTCTGGACATTTCATATGAATTGAATTTTATAATATGTGGTGTTTTGTGCCTGGCTTCTTTCACTTAGCATTATGTTTTCAAGGTCCATCCATATTGTTGAAACACCTGGTGGATTTGAACTGCTAAAGTTCCACTTAGCAACCAAGTGCCTTACCCACTAAGCCTCCAGAGCTCCTTAAACTGAGACACAGAAAGATTAAATGATTTGTTCAAAGTCACACATGTAGCAGAGCTGGGAAATGGGCTCAGCATTGCTTCTGTGCCTGAACTCTTGATCACTGTGAAAATTGTCTCATTCATTCAACAAATATCTAGGGATGTCTCCTATATGGGGACAGTGTTCTCATGTTGAATGGAACTTTCTGGTGGCTCTAGTTGAAGGGAAACTGGAGGTCCCAGGCTCAGCCTATTTAGACTCCCATTGTTACCCAAATTGCAATTAAGATACCTAGAATATTCCTGGGTTCCACAAAACCTAATTTGAGAACCAACTGCTCGAACCACTTACCACAACATGTTCCAGAGGATGACATTCTGTGCTATCTTGGCCATTCCAATGCTTTCTCCCTGAAGTTGCCTTTTCAATTTAGGTATAATGTCCTGACCCAAGAAGAAGCTCAGAGTGTATATGATGCCAGATATTACGGGGGCCAGTGTGAGACAGTATACAATGGGGAATGGAGGGAGCTTCGATATGATCCCACCTGTGAGCGTCTGTATTATGGAGATGATGAGAAGTACTTTCGGAAACCCTACAACTTTCTTATGTACCATTTTGAAGTAAGTCTGAACAGGGATGTTCACAGCCCACTGTAAGGGGGGTGGCAGGGATGGAGAGGACTGTTGATGGAGATGCCTTGCTTTGGGGATCTTTATTTCCAACAGAACTTGTTGGTGACTGCAGGCCCTTTTTCACTTGCCTTTACAGACACCCTGTGTGGAAGGACACTGAAGGAAAAGGGCATGGTGGGCAGGGCCAGTGAGAGGCATGATGTAAATGGGGCCCCCCACTTGTTGCATCTTGGCTCCCATGTCAAAATCAATAGAATAGCTCTAGAGTCTTACTCTATGGGCTACAAGTCAGAAGATCTGTTCCCAAGTTGTGGCTTGGTTAGAATATAGTATATGATATCTTGAGCACTTACTCCTAACTTACTAACTTACTCCCCTCCCTGGGGCCTGGTTTCCTCCTCTGTAAAGCAGGGGAAGGAGAGAAGATGGCTGGGCAGGGCTCTGAGATCTATGCCCCTACTTTAGTAAAAGTAGTTCCGCACTGATCAGTTTTGTATCTTGGTTTCCATATATGATTTTATTTGAAGAAAGGATTCTGCTCTTTAAAATTTTTACAAATTGCTGATGGTCCCTAAGGGTCCCTCCATTTCTGACATGCTGTCGTCTCCTGGTCACACAGTATACCAGGTAGCTCATGATCAGTTTCAGAGCCTGTTCATGACCATTCCTTTCTTCACTCTTCATCCTTTGAGTGAGACAGTCATTTAATAAACTTTATTGAGTTATTACCACATGCCTAGGAGCTCTGGTGGTATAGTGCCTAAGGCATTTGACTGCTAACCAGAAGGCTGGTGATTCAAACCTATCAGCCACTCCTCAGAAGGAAGACTGGGCAATCTACTTCCATAGTGATACCTCCTTGGAAACCCAAGGAGGGGTTGCTACCATCCTTCAACCTGCTCACCTACACCTTGGCCTTAAGCAACCACTAAACTACTTCTTATCTCTATAGATTTCTTTGTTCTGGACATTTCATATGAATTGAATTTTATAATATGTGGTGTTTTGTGTCTGGCTTCTTTCACTTAGCATTATGTTTTCAAGGTCCATCCATATTGTTGGAGCACCTGGTGGGTTTGAACCGCCAAAGTTCTGCTTAGAACCAAATGCTTAGAACCAAAGTCCTGCTTAGAACCAAATCAGATTCGACTCGAATGGCAGTGAGTTTGGTTTCGTTTTTGTTTTACCACACGCCTGATCTTCTACTTCCACATAAATTCTTCTCTTTAATCTTTCCTACAACACAATGGGATAGCTATTATCATCATTGTAATTTAGAAATTAAACAAACAAAAAGTCCCAGAGACTTAAAGCAATAAAGCATCAGGCCCAAAATGATAATGCTATAAGTAGCAGAGACAAAATTCAAATTTAAACCTGCCTGAACTAAACCCAGGCTATCCTTCAATGCAGGCGACCTGGGTTCAATTCCCAGCCAATGCATTTCATGCTCAGCTAGCATTCGTCTGTCACTAATGACTTGCATGCTGCTATGATGCTGCATAGGTTTCAGTGAAGCTTCTAGACTAAGACAGACTAGGAAGAAAGGCCTAGAAATCTATTTCCAAAAACCAGTCAGAAAAAACCGTATGGATCTCAATAGCTGGATCCTCGGCTGATCATGAGAGTGGTGCAAGACTGAAGAGCATTTTGTTCCATTGCAAATGAGGTTACCATGAATCAGAGACCAACTTGGCAGCAGCTAACAACAACAACATTTTTTATTGAGAAGGGCAGATATTTATTTACATAGTACATGTATAGAAAGAGATGGCAAGGTTTCAGGATTCTGAGCAATTATCTAGTCACAGCCTTCCTCCCCACAACTGTGTCAAGAGAAACAGATAGACATATGATAAGCCAGCAGTATGGAATCTGTTTTGAAGATGTTTGCTCCCTTCTCCCACTCCACAACACACACCCTATATCAGGCCTGTGGTAAGCCATGCTGGAAGACACAGTAATGTCATTTTCCTAAGCTTGAGGAAGGTCCAGGGCCTTTATGTCACTCAAGATCAAGTAGGTTACATTGTGGTAACAAAGAATTCTCAGATCTCAGTGGCTTAAAACAATGTCTTATATATGCTACTCGTCTAGTCTGAAGTGGAAAGAAAACTGATCGTCATTGAACACTTAGGGACCCAAACTGATGGAGACTTCATTTCAACACATGTTCTCACACTTGCAGAGTGAACCACTCACCACTCTTCAGCCTTGCTTTATTGGCTCAAGCAAGTCACAAGACAATGTCTGAGTTCTAGTTGGCAGGAAAATGCAATTTCATCGTGTACCTGAAATGAAATAACCAAACATTTGTGAACAACATTGAAGCATACCACTGCCAAGAAAGTGCATCAGATGAAAAGCCTCCTTTACGCTTTTCCTCCTAGGTTCACACCCAGTCTTGGCCTTGTAGAAGCAAGCATCCTTCTCTGCAAGAAGGATGTAGTTGTTAAGTGCCGTCAGTGATGTCAATATTGGGGTTTGGGGAGCATAGAGTATGGGCCACACAGATAACACAGGCAGAGGGGGTGATACAAAAATGACTGTCTATAAAATTTTTGTGCAGTGTTTCAGCAGAAATTTATTATTTTTATAAAAATATCCCTGTAGTTAGTTATAACAACAAAAACATTTTTCCTAAACCCAGGTTACATGTATCAATATACCTACAAGGCTAAAATTCTATGCTAATTCACCTTCTGAACTTTCTACTGCTCTCTGGTCAGAGTTGTCACTGTTACCTAATTACCAGCATGCTCTGAATCATGTGATTTTTGTCTGCATGGGCTACAAGCACATACTGTTGTTTTCATTGTTGCCGGGATTTTTATAGTTGCACATTTTGTCAACTTTTCTGGTGTTTTAGCTACAATATCATGGTAATGAGTACTTGTGAAACTATATCAATAACTTTTTTGAAAATGAAGTAGTAATTAAAGAAAAAGGAGAAAAATTTTTAAAAAGGCTTCTACTTGGTTATTAATAATGTAACTAATAATGTTATAATTCAATGCTAAAAGATTTTACAAAACAATTTTGTTGTTAGTATTCAAAGAATCTAGAAAATACTACATTTAAGCAATTCATAACTATATAGTTGTTGTTGTTATGTGCCGTCGAGCCATACCCGACTCATAGTGACCCCTCCTTGGGTTTCCAAGGCAGTATCACTATGGAAGTAGATTGCCCCATCTTCCTTCTGAGGAGTGGCTGGTGGATTGAACCACCAGCCTTCTGGTTAGCAGTCAAGGGCCTTAGCCACTATGCTACCAGAGCTCCTATAACTATATTTATCACAGATTATTCTATGATTAAAGTTGAAAATAAACATTTCTAAGAATTCTGTATGGTCCAAGGGTGGGGGGTGGTGACACCATGAGTTACCGCACAAGTTAACACCAGCGGGTGACATCAATCTTCGATTCATAATGCCCCCATGTGACAGAGGCAAACTGCCCCGTAGGGTTTTTTAGGTTGTAATCTTCAGCAGAGCAGGTCCTCAGGTCCTTCTCTGCAGAAAAGCGGGTGGTTTCGAACTGCCAAACTTTTGGTTCTCAGAAGAGAATTTAACAGCTGAGCCATCAGGCCTCCTTCAGAAACAGGAAGGCTAAGCCAGCCATACAGAAGACCAGGCTGACTAATCAGCCACAGTTCCCATCATCCAGAGAAAAATCAGAGCCATTTGTGTAGAATGGATTCCAACTTGTGGTGAGCCCATATGTGTCAGAGTAGAATTGTGCTCCCTAGGGCTTTACTGGCTGATTTTTCAGAAGTAGACCATCACGACTTTTTTCAAAGTTCCACTGTTTACATTTTTGGCTAGTCTTTTTTCCTATGTCCATGTTGTTGTTGTTGTTATGTGCCATAGAGTCAGATCCAACTCATAGCGATCCCTCCTTGGGTTTTTGAAGTGGCATCACTACGGAAGTAGATTGCCCAACCTTCCTTCCCAGGAGTGACTGGTGGGTTTGAACTGCCAGCCCTCCTGTTATCAGTCAAGTGCCTTAGGCACTACATAGGGAAGTTATTTTAAACAAAAAAAACAATATAACATTTCTTCAAAGATATTAAAAAAAAAAAAAAAAAAAAAGGGCCAGGGCCAGACTTAGAACAAAATAGTATCTTGTCAGAACTATATATGTACGTATTTGTTTATACAAGTAACATTTTTGCAGTGCCATGACCATATCAAAGGCATACCTGGGTGGCATAAACAGTTAAGTACTGACTTCCTGACTGAAAGTGTGGTGATTTGAACACACAGAGAGGAGACTCCGAGGACAGGCCTGGCAATCTGCTGCCGAAAGGTCATAGCCATGGAACAGTTCTGCTCTTCAGACTTGACAGCAACTAACAACTCCATCTTGTCCATATCAAGAACACTGCTATATTTTCTGAATTTTAGCAAATACCAAACTGATGCATGGATTAGTCTTTTAAGAGAATTCTCTACAACAATCTGAAACTTTAGATAGTTTACAAAGCAGAGATTTAAATACTGAATGGAGGCTGTATGTGCACAAGGCCAACTTCTGTTTGTTTCTTTCCAGGCCTTGGCTGACACAGAAATGTCCTCTGAGCTCTATGATGATGCACATAGCCTTCTTTCTGCTGTAAAAAACGAAGCGTCTGTGTCAGCGGGAGTGACCGTTGGCGTAGGCTTTAGACGCGTTCCAATAAGAGTGGAAGTGGGTGTATCTGGATCAAAGGACTCCTCCTTCTTGAACAAGTTAAACAACTATAACGAGAAGGTATTAAAACATAATGCCTGTGTCGCACAGTATTCCATAATCTACAAGGAATGTGTATTACCTTAATTGCATTAAAAAGTACAGTAGTAATTGAACTTTAATTTGCTTGTGTAATTGGAAATGTCTGATCACTGGTAATCATGTTTGTTTTTCTTATTACGCTTTTGCACACAGAATCATCACAAAGGGAATAAAATTGAGTGATAAAATGAGAACTCTTATCACTTCACCCCATCCTTTTGCATGGTTACCTGGAGCATATAGGAAAATACTTAGAATGGTAATGTGTTAAAGAGAAACAGCCAGGCCCTCTAAATTAGACTTGGAAGAATGTTAAAGCAAGCCTTGCTTTACCAAATAGCTGGTAGGGCTTGCCATGCACAATAAATTGCTGACGAGTCAGGAAATGCTTCCTTGAGAAAGGAATATCTATCTAAGCTGAGATCTAAGGAGGAGCACAAGTTGGACAGCCGAGGGGAGAGAGAAGTTAAATGAAGGTTGTTCCAGGCATGGGGAACAGCATGTGTAAAGGCCTAGAGATGAGAGCATGCCTTAAAGGACTTCAGCTGGCTGAAGCACAGAGTGGGAATAAAAGTGAGGATTGATGAGGATGGAGAAATATAGTTAAAGATTGGAGAAATATTTATTGAATTGATTCAAAATTTGCCAAAAATGTCTCAGTAGCATTGATCTCAGGTCTGTTGATTTAGTCAAAGTTAAAACAATTATTTTGTGTGATGAAAATGCAGTTATAAACTTAACTTATCTCACAAACACAAATTGAATTCTGAAGATTTTCCACTAATTATTTTTCCGAAGAGAAAATATTATTCTGAGGTCTGATGATTGCATATTAATATGGACTTTTCCAAAAGTTGGTGGCCTCTTCAAACTTCTGCTATCACTTTGGATCAAGATATATATTACCTGGAAGTAATGGTTATACATGACCCTCTTCCTCTAAAACCAATCCAATATCACTCTGGTCCTGTCTCTCTCTCTCTTTTTTTTTTTTTTTCCTGTCTCTTTTTTTATTCTAATAGGATTCTGTTTCTCTCTATTATTTAATAAGATAAGACTATCAATAGAATATAAGCTCCATGAGGGCAGGGGTCTATCTCATTCAAGATTATGCCCTCTGCACCTAGCATAATGCATGAGACAGAATAGGCACTATATGAATTTGCTCAAAAATTAAATAAGTGAGGAATATCAACATTTCTCTAAACCAAACCAACCTTCCTCAACTGCCGTTGAGTTGAATCTGACTCATAGCAACCCAGCCTTGGGTTTCTGAGGTGATATCACTATAGAAGTAGGTTGCCCAATCTTCCTTCCGAGGGGTGGCTGGTGGGTTTGAACTACCAGCCTTCTGGTTAGTAGTCAAATACTTTAGGCACTACGCTACTAGAGCTGTATGTCGTCAAAAAATTCCTAAGTATAATTTTTAATGGATGTGTAATACTTGGGTAGGAGATTGTGCAATGCAGAGCTTTGATTAAAGCTAAAGAAAGTGTGGATGTGGGAGTAGACAGAGGACAGAACAGATGCAGTGAGCACAGTGAAAAGGCCATTGTATTAACTAACCCAGGTTAGTTGATGGGAACTTGATCTAGGCAGTGACAGTGGGAACTGAGATGAAGATACGGAGGAAGAAGCCTGGCACTCACTGGTGTCTCATACATACTTACAAAATGTAATTATACCCCAATATTTATACTTAGGAGTCCTGGTGGTGCTGTGGTTAAGCATTTGGCTGCCAACCAAAAGGTTGGCTGTTTGAACCCACCAGCCACTCCGTGGGAGAAAGATGTTGCAGTCAGCTTCCATAGAGATTTACAGCCTTGGAAACCCTTGGGCCAGTTCTACTTTGTCCTATAAAGTTGTTATGAGTGGCAATCAACTTGATGGCAGTGAATTTGGATGGGGTGTATTTAAGCTTATGTATGTATATGTGTGAGATATTTATGTGGTGATACAAACAGTTAAGTGCTCTAACCTTAGGCTGGAAGTTTGAGTGCACCAGAGGCACCTAGAAAGAAAGGCCTTGCGATCTACTTCTGAAAAACCAGCCACTGAAAACCCTGTGGAGTACAGTTCTATTCTGACACACACAGTGGCTGTGAGTTGGTGTCTACCTGATGGCAACTGGTTCAGTTTTCTGATATATGCATATATATTTATTTTTCACTCAACCACTAAATGTTGACCTTTTGTGTTGTCTCCTGTGTATACTCTCTTTGTTCTTTTCTCTCATTCGATGGTGGCTATGGATGGCAGAAATACAATTTCATGAGAATTTCCACTAAAGTGCGGACTGCTCATTTCAAGATGAGGAGGGACAACATTGTACTGGATGAAGGAATGCTGGACTCATTAATGGAGCTGCCTGAGCAGTACAATTACGGCATGTATGCCAAGTTCATCAATGACTATGGCACCCATTATGTCACATCTGGATCAATGGGAGGCATTTATGAATATATTTTGGTGCTTGATAAAGAACATATGGAATCATCAGGTAAGTGGAGCAGAAGCTTCATGCACCCAATGACCAATACCTACACCAGGACATGGTTTGCCATTTTTGGAGCCTGACTATGAGCCATGTGTGATCTTATTACACCTCCATGACATAAGGAAACATGAGTATTGTATTTTCTAGGAAACTGAGGTGCAGAAGTATGAAATGACTTGCTAATAAACACCACAAAAAGGATTTGGATTCAGACCTGTCTGTCTCCCAAAAAACAATGTGATTTCTATTTCTATCACAGTTGCCTCTTTATAATAATGAATTTTTGGAATCTTCTTGTTTGGAATGTTAAGCTTTGTTTTAAATGTTGATTCTTGGCTAATGGAGCTACCATCCAATCAGTTACTGAAGCCAGAAACCTAGAGTCATCCCACATTCCACCTTCTCTGAAGATCACACCCATAGATCTCCAAGGCTTATCAATTCTCTCTCCTGCACTGCTCTCATCCAACACTTTCTCAGCTCATCTCTCAAGTGGCAGGCTAGCCTCTGTCTTTCACTTATTTCCTGCATCAGCTCTTGAATGGTCTCTGCTGATGGGCTCACCCCCTCTGATCCATCCTTGACAATTGTCACCAGAGTGAACTTTCTGCTTCTCAGAACTGATAGTGTCACTTCCTTGCCTAATATTCTGGATGGCTAAGACTAAAGTCTGAACTCCATAGCATGGCATCAACAACCTTCAAATGACCTTCCTCCATCTTACCTAGAATAGTGGTTCTCAATGTATGGACCCCAGACTGAAAGCATTAGCCTTACCTGGGAACTTATTAAGGAGCTCTGGTGGTGCAGTGGTTAAGGTATTTGGCTACTAATCAAAAGGTTGGCAGTTCAAACCCATCAGCCACTCTGTGAGTGAAAGATGAGGCAATCTGCTTCCATAAAGATTTACAGCCTTGGAAACGCTATGGGATAGTTCTACTCTGTCCTATAGGGTCACTATGAGTTAGAATCAACTGGATGAGAGGGAATGTTTGGATTTTGAGAACTTGTTAGACATGCAAATTATCAGGCCCTCATCTCAAACCTACTGAACTAAAGACTCTGGGAGTAAGACCAGGTGTCTGTCTTTCAGGTGATTCTGATGCCTGTTACATTTTGAAAACCACTGTCCATGAATGAGTAGAAGGGAGTAAGTTCTATCCATATTTCAAAGCCAAGGTCAAATTCCTGGTTCCAAGAAGTTTCTGGGACTGCACCAGCCTAGGCTGGCCATTCCCTTTCTTTAGCACATTCATATAGTCTGACTCATAGTGACCTCCATTGGGTTTCCAAGGCTGTAAGTCTCCACAGAAACAGATTGCCTCATCTTTCTTCCACAAAGCAGCTAGTGGTTTTGAATCACTGACTTTTTGGTTAGCAGCCAAATGCCCTCTCTAATTAGAGAGGGCAAGGAACTCTGGTTGTATAATGGTTAGGGCATTTGGCTGCTAACCAAACGTTCAATGATTTGTACCCAACAGCTGCTCTGTGGAAGAAAGATGAGGCAGTCTCTTTCTGTAGAGACTTACAGCCTTAGAAACCCAATGGGGTCACTATGAGTCAGAATTGACCCAATGGCAGTGCGTTTTGTTTGGTTTTGGTTAGTTAAAAAATGATTTTCCAAATGTTACTATTTTTCTTCTCATCTACATAGCAAGATTCTTGAAAGCAAGTGTCCTCTTTGACACTTTTCTACCCCTTTAGCATCAACACCGGCCTTAATACATAGTGAGTGTGCAAAAAAACCCTGGAAGTTTGAGCCAAAAAACTAAGCCTGTTACCACAGATGGGGTTTCCAAGGCTGCACATCTTCGGAAGCAGACTGCCACATCCTTCCCCTGCAGAGTGGCTGGTGAGCTCCAACTGCAGACCTGTGGGTTACAGCTGAGCTGCACCGCCAAAAAAAACCCAAACCAAAACCAAACCCACTGCCGTCAAGTCGATTCTGACTCATAGTGACCCCATTGGGATTCTCCGAGGACTTCTAAAAAAAGACAATAGAATGGAATAAAAAATAACATAGTTGATTGTAGGCAGTGAAATTATTTTTCCGAGAAACGTTTTCCAGTTGCAAAGTAAGTAGCTTACCACAACATAGATGAATCTTGGAAACATTATGCTGAGTGATATGAATCAGTCACAAGAGGACAAATATTATATGATTCTACTTATATGAAGTATCTAGAATTGACAAGTGTATAGAGATCAAATTGTATTACTGGTTACCGGGGTGAGCAGGAGGGAGGGGGAAAGGAAGATGCAATGCTTAGAGGGCACTGAATTCAGGACTGGGAAAGGGTGAGGAAGGACCAACACGATGCATGTAATTAATGTACATGTGAAGATTGTTGAAATGGAAAATGTTTTGTTATCTATGTATTTACACCACACACACACATACACACACACACCACATACACATAAGTAGCTTGCTATGCACCAATGTAAAAAAGAAGTTTGAAATACTTTATTCAAGTGGATCTTTTTAGAATTTTTCATAAATGTGGGAAAGAAAAAAGAGCTAACATGTGTTGAATAGCGACTAGATTCCAGGTGCTGTGCTATATATTCTCATTTAATTTTCTTGACCACACTTTGATGTTGGTATAATCCCAGCTTTGGCTGCAGAAGAGCTGAGGCTCATCACAGAGCTGAATTATTTTGCCCAGGGCTGCCGGAAACTGGTGTCAAAGCCTCAGACCTACAGTCTTTCCACCACACAGTCCTGGCAGAGCCTCTCATTTGGCCTCCTATCTTTGGTGTTGGATTACTAATTAATTGCCTGGGGTATCTGGTGGTCCCTTCTCTTTAAAATCTGTGAGGCAGAAATGAGCTTCCAGTGTGGTTAATATTCAAAAGGAACCCACCACAAATTGTCCCAGGGATAATTACCTCAGTTCTGTTTATAGAAAGCCATATGTCGATAATAGCACAATTTGCTATTTGTGAAGAGCTGATTTTCCATAAATCCAGAAAGTTAGTGTTGCTTTTCTATAAATGTGGAAATGTGCTAATCATCACCTCATCTGCTGGAGATCACTAATAAATCAGAATGCCATTTACATATTAACCTACAAAGAACAAAAACATCTACCTTCTTTCCCTTTGACAAATGGAATCACCCACACCGGCTCTGCATGTTTGCCTAGTTCCTCCTCTGTCTCCTTCTCATCCCATCTCTCACTCTCTTTCTCTCCTAGGTGCCTTTCTCTGCTTCAATTCTTCCCTCTCTCTCATCCACTCTTTTCCTATTGTTCTCTCTTTCCTCTTTGCCTCTGTCTTTTTCTCTCTGTGTATCTTTAATCTTTAATAATAGATATATTCTATTAGATGCTTGTTTCCAAGAAACTTCCTGTGTGGTATACGTTCACATTCTCAAAGGCTGAGCTTGGCATGGAATCATTTAAGTGAACACAGTCGCTGGCTTGCTCTGGGGGAATCTTTTGTCCTTGGATTTGCCTCAGATCCTCTCTAGGTTCGTCCCAGAGGATACACAGGGCTGTTTTCTTCTAATGTGTCCTTTAGATAAACTGCTTCTCTGCCAAAGACAGCGTGAACCCATGCATCAAAAATCAAGGGAAGACTTGGATGTTGGGGAGGTATGTTAGACTTCAATGGGATCCTAGAATTTCCTCAAGGGCTGTGACAGACAGCTTTCTACCTTCTGCAGGAATCAGTATAGCTTTGAGCTTGAATTTCTGGATTTAGAATTTTTTCACCTTCAGCTCGTCTTTGGAGTTCTCATTATATGTCTTTGTATCAAAGTTTGACAAAGAGAGATGTATATTAGCCATTCTGGCTTCTCTGGAGTCTGGCCCAGGTACAGAGTTGCCAATTTACCAAGGACGAATCATATAATTCAGTGACACTATTCTATTCATATTGTATATTTCCTGCTTCCTTTTGCACATGCTGGTCTCTCAGACCCCAGTGCTCCTCCCTTTCTTGCCAACCTAACAAATATCACCTTATCCTTCAAAGCACTTGAACAGGCCTCCCTCCTCAATAAAAGCTGCCCTGACATCTTTCTGCCTCTTCTCCCATAGTTTTGTTATTCATACATTCATGTACTCAGTTTACCTCAGTTCAGTTTATTGAGTTTGTATTATGTGCCAGGTGAATAAATCCAATATGGTTCCTGTTCTTGTGATGCTCACAATTTAGAGGAAGAAACTAACCAAACAGCCTCAAATCTGGATGTCATCCTTTCTTCCTCCCTTACTTCCTGCCCCCATCAGCAACTCCTGTCATCTTAATTTACAAAGCATATGTGACATCCACCCTCCCCATCTCTACGATCATCCCCCTAGTCCAAGCCACAACTATCTGTTACCTGGATACAGTTAGAGTATCCTAGCTGGTCTCCTTGCTGCTTCTTTTGACCATTGCCCCTATTTTCCATTTTTTAACCCTGGCTGTGCCAGGCAACACTTGCTGACTACATTCTGGTCATCATGGTCTTTTCCCTTCTTTCCTTTCTCCTTCCCTTCCTCCCTTCATTCCTTTTTTTATGTTGTTTTTCTTGACAACACTGTTTTTCTCTAACATTCTAGCATGTAAACCTTATTCTAGCCTGGGGTCTTGTACTAGCTGTCCCTTCTATCTGGGCTGGCCTTCCCTCTGATCCTTACATAGTTGGATTCTTATCATTCAGATCTCAACTTAAATGCCACCTCTTTATATATTACCCTACATTAATTCTCAACAAAGCACTTTTTTTTTTACACTAGTTACCTTGTTTACACATTTATTTGTTTATTATTAATCCTTTGTTTCCAGAATCCAAGTTCTATGATGATAGGGACCTTAACTACTATTTGTTTTTGTTGTTTGTATTTCTTTTCCATTGCTGTATATCCATTTTCCAGAATAATGCCTGGCACATAATAAAGACTTAATAACTTCTGTTGAGTAGTGAATGAATGAGTCAATCAGTATATAATTACAAATTGTGATGAAAGCCATATAGAAAACAGGTTATAGAAATAGAGAGAATAATTGGA